GGCAATTGGCATCACTCTTGCTTCACCCTGGCTCAGCTCAAAGCCTTCATCTGACTGGGGGCGATCACCACAGAGAACTCCCTCCTCACCACCCCACACAGCATGTACACACACACGCACACACGAACACAAGCATGTGAACACGCACACACGCACACACACTCTCCAGGGCAAGAGCCCAACAGGCAAGGGTCAGGGTAGAAGGATGAGTTAGCCTGTGGCATAGGACAGCCACGTAATGGATGGCGATGGGCTCTATGGCTACGCAGGGGTGGTCCCAAACCAGGGCCTGGGTAGAACCAAGGCTCCCAAAATTGCTGCTTGTTCACTTCACCAACATTTGTTTTTGTGTGTGTGTGGGGTAGGAATCTCACTGTCGCCCAGGCTGGAGGGCAGTGGCATGCTCACAGCCACCACAGCCTTGACCTGCTGGGCTCAGGTGATCCTTCTGCCTCAGTCTTCCTAGTAGCTGGAATTACAGGCATGCACCACCACACCTGGCTAATTTTTTTTTTTTTTTTAATTTATTGTAGAGTCAAGGTTTTGCCAAGTTACCCAGGCTGGTCTCGAACCCCTGGACTCAGGCAATCCTCTCGCCTCTGCCTCCCAAAGTGCTGGGATTATAGGTATGAACCACCATGTCGGGCCCTCCAACATATTCTCAAAACCCACGATTGCTCAGAAGACAATCTAACAGCCCAAACGTGTACACATAAACAATAAGAGTCACTTGGCTTCACGCTGGTGGATTGCAGTGGCAGACACAAGAAAAGAATGCATCTCTGAGTGTGAGGCTTGTTGTCTCTCCCCTTCTGATGTGATGGCTACCAAGCCTTTGTCAAGCCCTAAGCAGCACGTCACAGATTTTTCTGCTGAGAACACCTCTGGCAACCAAATGAACGTGAGACGTCTTGAGCTGGTATAATGAATCAGCTCGACGAAACTTCTCTCGGCTTCAGAGTCCTGGCTCCATCTTCTTGGTTTCTCCCAGCCTCCACCCTGTCCCCGCTTTCCTCACTCAGACAAGTGCCAGTCTCCTCTTGACAAAGATTTAATAAGCTCCCACTGGATTTGCGGCGCACGCCAGAGTCCCCTTCTGCAAACACCCTCCTCCCTGGTAACCATCGTCTCTGAAAGATTCCTCTGTCCTTAAGGCTCTCCTGTGGGTGAATGACCCTCACAGGAAAACGGTTCTTCCTCTGGGGTACACAGCCATAACATTTTTCCACCCACAAGGGAACAGTGAAGGAGAAGTGTGACAATCCCTAAACATCACAGGTTTATGAAGAGCCATTGCCCAAGGGAGAGTTGGTGTGGAAAGGGCTGCCTGCCCTGGACATAGCTGTCCTCTCACCACACGCCTGTCTGCAGCAGGTCACGACACCATCAGCTGAGAAAGCACAGTGACATCTAGGTTACAAGGCTTGAGGTGGCCTTGATGTTCTCTGATTCCTGGCTGTCAGACAACTGGGCTGTCCCCAGCAAGAGCGCTCCTCTGTTACTCAGGCACCTCCCCGCACAAGTGACAGGTTAACCACTTCCCTGCTGCCTCATCTTTGAAAACCTCTCATAAAAGTGCATCAGAGGAAATGCCACCTATTATTAAGTCCCCAGAACAGGAGCTAGAAATATGTGCTCACCCTGGAGATGACAGTGTTTGTGGGATGAGGTGACACAAGCGACCGAACTGCCATTTATCCTATTTTTGGAGTTGGCTTGTTGATGTCACAGTCAGGAATGACCAACTCCAGCACACAGTACCCTATGGGACCGTACCTACGGCATCCTTTCTCCTAGGCATTGCCCCAGGCAGCAGACAGAAACTCTGGACTGTAAGGATTTGTGAACTGACCCACATATAATAACGAGTTGGGCTGCACGCTTCTTGAGTACTTCAAAGTACTTTCTGACTATTATCTCATTGATCTTACCAACATCCAAGGAAGGGAGGGAGAGATGGAGAGCCTTAGAGCCTTCTCATTTCTTTTTCTTTTCTTTTTTTTTAATTGAGTCAGAGTCTCCTTCTGTTGCCCAGGCTGGAGTCCAGTGGCACGCTCACGGCCACCGCAGCCTCGACCTGCTGGGTTCAGGCAATCCTTCCGCTTCAGTCTTCCACGTAGCTGGAACTACAGGCATGCGCCACCATGCCCGACTAATTTTTTGATTTAGTGTAGAGACGAGGTCTCATCATGTTGCCCAGGCTGGTCTTGAACCCATGGGCTTAGGCAGCTCTCTCGCCTCTGCCTCCCAAAGTGCTGGGATTACAGGTGTGAGCCACCACGCCAGGTAGCCTTCTCATTTCATCAAAACATCAGGGAGGGGAAGCTTTTAGGTAAACCAGACATTATTTAGACACAAAGTCAGTGAAGTTCAAATATACACAATAACATTTATTTGGGAGGAAAAAAAGGTACAAATGAACTCAAAAGCCCTGACCCCTTTGGCCAAAGACCACTGATTTGGGGGGGTGTCCTCAGCTCTAGTGGTCTCTGGTCAAAAGATGGGTTGAATTTCAGCCCTCTGTGCTGGAAAGGGTATCCAACCAAATTCCCCCAGCCCCGACTTCATCAAACTTTGTAAATAACAGAGATGCACACTTGAGTAATTAAAAGAAAACACAGTCAGTGAAGTGGTTTGTGAAGGTTTAGGTGTGGCTGGAAGCATTCTGTGTATTTTCTCTAAAGCCAAACGTGTGGACAGTCCAAAATACTAGTTTAATTAGCTTATAAATCTGGAATGACTCTTTACATCTGACAGTGAGGTCCAGGGTTCAACTATTTCACTTTGAAATCAAGAGGCAGCCATGGGGTATTCAGCTCTGACCACTTCCTCCAGAAGGTTCCACGGGCTTCCTCCTCACAGTTGATGATTTCACCCAGTTAACTAACCCAAACGATTTGACCTCTAGTGTTTTATAGAAATGGATAATAACTCCTGGTATTTGAAGATGGTTTCTGATTTTTGTTTTGTTTTGCTTGAGTTGGAGTCTCACTCTGTTGCTCAGGCTGGAGGGCAGTGGCATGCTCACAGCCACTGCAGCCTCGACCGGCTGGGCTCAAGTGATCCTTCCACTTCAGCCTTCCAAGTAGCTGGAGAATTACAGGCATGTGCCATCACACCTGGCTAACTTTTTTATTTATTGTAGAGATGAGGTCTCATCAAGTTGCCTGGCTGGTCTCGAACCCATGGGCTCAGGCAATCCTCTCACCTCAGCCTCCCAAAGTGCTGGGATTATAGGCGTGATCCACCACGTCCGACCTTCTGATGTTTTATTTCCTTCTTTCCCTCCTTAGACTGCCCTGAGCTACCCGGAATAGCTCTTAAACAGTGCTGTATCCCTTACAAACTGTGCACTTCTTGTAAGAGATGGGTAGATTATGATGTTAGCTGTGAGCTTGCAAAAGAGAAGAAAAAGGGAGGGGCCAGGCATGGTGGCTCAGGCCTGTAATCCCAGCACTTTGGGAGGCCAAGGTGAGAGAATTGCCTGAGTCCAGGGGTTCTAAACCAGCCTGGGCAATCTGGTGAGACTTCAATTCTATAATAAATCACAAAATTAGCCTGGTGCATGGCACATGCCTGTAGTTCCAGCTACTTGGAAGGCTGAAGTGAAAGGATTGCCTGAGCCCAGTAGGTCGAGGCTGTGGTGGCCATGAGCGTGCCACTGCACTCCAGCCTGGGCAACAGAGTGAGACTCTGACTCAAAAAAAAGGGACAGGTACCTGTCCTGGTTAACTCCCACAAAGCCACAGAGTTCTCCAATGCTTAAGTTCAAAGCCCTGTAATCTCAGTAATCACTGCTTGTTATAGTACTTTTTAGATTTTTCTATCTACAGCATTTTTAAACATCAATTTAATTGAACTTAAAAGAGATTGTGCTTAATGTGCTGTGACTTGGCAAACCCATCGTGTACAGTGTCTTGCTGACAGGGTACGTCTAACACAGGAAGCAACCCTGTCAGCAGGACTGGCCCACATGTGACTACAAATCCATGACAGCCCCAGGGGCTCCCCGCAAGGCACGCTGGGTGATGGATTCATCTGGGGCTTTGCTAGGCCATGGCTGGATCTAGACATACTCTCTCTTCCCAGTCTGTTTTTTATTTTATATTATCTTTTTTAGTTGGAGTCTTACTCCATCACCCAGGCTGGAGGGCAGGGGCATGCTCACGGCCACCGCAGCCTCGACTTGCTGGACTCAGGCGATCCTTGCGCCTCAGCCTTCCAAGTAGCTGGAACTACAGGCGCACACCACCATGCCCAGTTAATTTTTGGCTTTATTATAGAGAGGAGGTCTTGCCAAGTTGCTCAGGCTGGTCTTGGGCCCCTGGGCTCTCGCTATATTGCCAGGCTGGTCTCGAACTCCTGGGCCCAAGCTCTCGCCTTGGTCTCCCAAAGTACTAGGATTACAGGTGTGTGCCAACATGCCTGGACCATTTAGTTTTTAAAACTAATATGTCCTCTATTTCTGATCCATGCCAGCCTGGAGACTAAGGTACAGCAAGCCAGCAATCGACCATGTCGTTAGCAGGTTTTTTTTCCCAGAGCCTCAGGATAGCGTGGCTAACATTCAGGGCTATGCATGGCCCTGCTGTCCTGCATCATGGAACCATCTATTAATTACACAGACACACAGACAACCTTATAATTAGGTCAACCTCAAATACTCCGATGTAAGGCCTGGGTTCCATTCCTTTCTCTCTAAGAGTAGAGTACTTAGAGGGAATTTCTCAATCACCAATAATGCAGAAATGGTCTCCTCACAACCCCAGGTAGCCTCCCTAGCTGACAGCCACCCCCTGAATACCCCATGACTCTTGACATCTGCCCTATAACCTGAGCCTCCTATCTGTGAGCTTTGCTTTTCAGACCTTGTTTTTCTTTTCTTCAGTTCTTCTTTTTTTCTGTGCCTGTGAGGATGGAACCTGGACAAAAGACAAGTCCCAAGCCTGCATCTGCTGGTGGAATGGGTAAAAACCTTCAGATAAGGAAAGCTCCAAAAAACCGTCATGTCATGCTAAGAATGCAAGGTGTCAAAGCTCTTGATCCCATTTTCAAACCAGGTGAGACACAGGCCTGCCCTCCCGAGGTCGACTGAGACGCCACTAGAAAAGAACTGCCCATCTGTGCTAGCTCCCTTCCGTGGAATCCGAGAAAGGCCTGCGAGGCGAGGGGGCTTCCGGGGACACCACAGCACAGGTCTGAGCTGGACGGCTGTGCTGGAACCTGTATGGTGAAACAGAAACACATTCTTAGCAGCGATGGAACTCCAGATTAGCTTGGCTGTCTTTTCATTTCTTTTTGTTATTCATCTCTGTAACATCTGTTTTCCTCTGGGCGTGTAGAACTTTTGCTTTCTCTCTTCTTACAGAGGCAAGAATATGTCTGAAACACCGAGTCCTGATGCTGCGATGAGGTCAGAAATGACAAATCAAGGCCAGGTGCGGTGGCTCACGCCTATAATCTCAGCACTTTGGGAGGCCGAGGTGAGAGGACTGCCGGAGCCCATGGGTTCGAGACCAGTCTGGGCAACCTGGCGACACCTTATCCCTACAATAAAAATAAAAATAAAAAATTAGCCGGGCATAGTGGCACGTGCCTGTAGTTCCACCTACTTGAAAGGTTGAGGCGGAAGGATCACCTGAGCCCAGCAGGTCAAGGCTGCAGTGGCTGTGAGTATGCCACTGCACTCCAGCATGGGTGACAGAGTGAGACTCCAACTCAAAAAATAAAAATAAAAATAAAGAAATGATGAATCATAGAATCGTTCTCCTAACACACACCGGGCAGAACCAATACATGTGCTGATCTGAGATCCATTTTTTGAACAAGGAGGCACAGCAGGGACCAGCTGTGAAAGACACAGCCCCGGTCACTCGTGGCTTTGTGGGACTGTGCAGCCCAGCAGGGCACACCTGGTTTTATGCATGTGTCCTTGGAAGAGTCTGCACAAGGTCAGATTTTACTCAATGGAAGCCTCATCTCTTACTGACTGAGTAATCAGATTGTTGACTTTCATTTAAGACTGGTAACAGCTTCTGATCATTAGTCTCTGATTTTTCTGTCCTCACTCTTATGTAAATGTTCTAGAAGCCAGGCACGGGGTCACTCCTGGAATCCCAGCACTTTGGGAGGCCGAGGCAAGCAGACTGCCTGAGTCCAAGAGTTCGAGACCAGCCTGGGCAACATGGTGAGACCTCATCTCTACAATAAATCAAAAAATAGCCGGGCGTGGTGGTGCATGCCTGTAGTTCCAGTTACTTGGAAGGCTGAGGTGGAAGGATCACCTGAGCCCAGCAGGTCAAGGCTACGGTGGCTATGAACACACCACTGCACTGCAGCCTGGGTGAGTGAGACTTCTACTCAAAAAAAGAGCTCTGTATTTCTTTTCTCTTTTAATGAGAAGTCAAGATTTATTGAGAGGACAGAAAAGCTCCCACAGTGGGAGGGGACCCGAAGAGGTTGCCTGAGCTCTGTATTTCTGGTAAAAATTGAATTTCTGGTAAAGATTATTTCTATTAAACGAGCATGTCTTTCCAAATTCACTTGCCTCAGCTAGGACTAGCATAAATCATTTTTTCTAGAATTGCTCTCTATCACATGTCCCATTTTCTTTTCATTTTTGTTGGTTTTTTTAATTGCCAAAGAAGTTTGCCACCAAAACTACCAAAAGGTAGGTAATCTGTTTTTGTCTTGCTGCATCAAAAATTTTTTAAGGTTCTAAAATATGAGCACTTGTTACCAAAGGGCTTGCACCATAGGGGAAGAGAAATCAGAACTGTGCTGGCCAGCGTAGAGAGCTCTGGGGGGCCCCAGTTCTGCCTCGCTGCGCAGGTCAGGTCATTCCTGGGAGATAATGTCTACCGCTGCTGATAGGCCTCTCCGGGGACCACGTTTTCGGGACTGGGAACCGGTGCTGGTCTGATGCAAAGTCTGACAAAGGGCCAGTGTGTCTCTGTCCCAGAAATTGTGATTGTCCCAGAAAACAGAGGCTACATGGTTGCCCACAGGACAACTCTCTGCTTCATTCAGCTTAGTGGCTGCTCAGGGCCCACTTGATGGTTTCTTTCTCGATTGTTTCTCCTTCGTTCCCCAGACTTCATGAAACTGATTAAAGCTGACCTTCAAACAGTCCTCCCAGCTCACCTGTCTGTCCACAAGTCTCATCACCCCCTAAATCAGTCTCCCCTTTTAAGAAGAGATACGTAGCTGGCTCGGTGGCTCAGCCTGTAATCCCGCGCTTTGGGAGGCTGGGGTGAGTGGATTGCCTGAGCCTGTGGGTTCAAGACCCGCCTGGGCAACTTGACGAGACCTCATCTCTACAATAAATCAAAAAAAAATTAGCAGGGCGTGGTAGTGCGCACCTGTAGTTCCAGTTACTTGGAAGGCTGAGGCGGAAGGATCACCCGAACCCAGCAGGTTGAGGCTGCAGTGGCCGGGAGCAGCCACTGCACTCCAGTCTGGGCGACAGAGTGAGACTCCAACTCAAAATAAATAAATAAATAAAAATAAAATAAAATAAAAAAGAGATACACTAGCAGTAAATGAACATAATTTAGCCTACATGTTCCCCACAGGGGTTGTTTGTGGCTCTGTACCCAACTGGCCCTTTCCAGATTAAAAAGTAATTATTCCAAAAGAAGTCTTTATGGTTAAAATTAAACCACAGTCCAAAAGCTATTAGGACTGGACTTTGGACGAATGCCAAAGAGGAGCATTCTGGCATCTTCCTGAGAGAAAGGGAAAGAAACCCACCAGAAGGAAGAAATCTTAAACCAACGATCACATTTAAAAATTAAATAAAACGTGGAAAGCTGTCCAACCACCCTACTTCAGTCAGAACGCACTTTTTAACAACGTTAGGAAAGCGAAACTAGCTGTGGGTGGGGTGGAAACGCTGCCAGGTCATCCTGCCTGAAGAAACTCAGGCTGCACCTACCTGAGAGACGTGGGCTACCCAGCCAGGAGGCTGCCATGACCCCCTCCGGGCTGTGCGGCTCCCGCTCGGGGCAGCACCTGTTTTGGTGAGCACTAGTGCATCACTCCAAGTGACTGGGATTATTTGCCCTGATTTGTTGTCCTACGACTTGTTTAAGAAACAATCATCTAGGAAAACACTGACGCAGGCACTGGTGTTCGAGAAAAAGCCTGAGGGAGCTGAGCGTCTGCTAGGGCACGAGCCCCAGGTGTCCCCACGGGGGCGGGGTTGGGGGTGGCAGGCAGCAGAGGGAGGCCGGAGAGGCGATCCACTGCCAGCTTAGCAATGCCCCCTCCTGGAAGGCCAGGAGAACGCGGTGTGGGCTGGGTGAAGGCTGGCCCCATCCAGCCATGCGCCAGGGCTTCTTCCAGCCAGGTGTGACACTGCCCTCTGATGGACAGAAGGCTTTTCAGTTTCACCAGACAGTTGGTTAAAGTGAAATAGTAGACATAAATCCTGCTAGGTGGCATTAAGCACCGCACAACCAAGGCCTAAGTTTTCACACCTACCAAATGGGTGGGTTATCAGAAGCAAATGAGCGGAGTGCCACTGTTCCCTGTGCCTGCCTACCTACCTATGCCCTAACAAAACCCAGTTCGCTTCCTCAAGGTGATCTTTCTTGCCAGTCTCTGAACTGAGAGCACCATGATAAAAACAACATAGAAGGCAGGGCGTGGTGGCTCACGCCTATATTCCCAGCACTTTGGGAGGCTGAGGCAAGAGGACTACCTGAGCCCAGGGGTTCAAGGGTACATGGCAAGACCTCGTCTCTACAATAAATCAAAAAATTAGCTGGGCATGGTGGCGTGCACTTGTAGTTCCAGGTACTTGGAAGGCTGAGGTGAAAGGGTCACCTGAACCCAGGAGGTCGAGGCTGTGGTGAGCATGCCACGGTACGTCAGCAAGGGTGACAGAGTGAGATTACAACTCAAAAAAAAAAAGCGTTGACCTGCTGGGCCTCAGTCTTTCAAGCAGCTGGAACTACAGGCGTGCGCCACCATGCCCAGCTAATTTTTTGATTTATTGTAGAGGTGACGTCTTGCCAACTTGCCCAGGCTGTTTTCGAACCCATGGGCTCAGGCAATCCCCTCCCCTTGGCCTCCCAAAGTGCTGGGATTACAGGCTTGAGCCACCATGCTCAGCCACACAGCACTTTCTTTCTTTCTTTCTTTCTTTTTATTTATTTATTTATTTTGAGTTGGAGTCTCACTC